GCATGGGACTATACCTGTGTGTCCACACTGGCTGACACCTATATCCATCACAGTGTGGGGCGACAGGGAGGAGCTGCTGACCACAGGGAGGACTACAAGATCAGCAAGTACAGGGACATTAGCCAACAGTATCAATTTGTCCCAGTGGGATCAGAGACCTTGGGATCATGGGGAAAAAATGCCACACGTTTCCTTAAAGAATTGGGTTCCAGACTCATCGACACCACCAGGGACCCAAGGGCAGCCACTTTCATGTTCCAGCGCTTCAGCGTCGCCATCCAGAGGGGAAATGCTTGCTGCATACTTGGCTCACGTCCAGCCTCGGAGGAGCTGGAGGAAATTCATCATCTTTGATACATTGTGCCATTGTATTCATGTTTATGTTTTTTTCTGTAAATGTATTTTGTTTATAAATATATATATACATATATATATATATATATATATATATATATATATATATATATATATATATATATATATATATATATATATATATATATATATATATATATGTATATATATATATACATATATATATATATATATATATATATATATATATATATATATATATATATATATATATATATATATATATATATATATATATAAGTTATGCAAATATCGCAAACTAAGCGATACAGGATGCGAAACAACCACGGGGGAGTAGAATGATAGCTCTAGGACTTTTATGTTGCAATCAACACATCATCATAGCTTGCAAAATTGCAGAAAAGAGGAGGATGTCCAAGAAAGTAAGTTCCCACAAGACCGTCTTCAATGGAGTGAGTGAGGGAGGGAGAGAGAGAGTGAGTGAGTGAGGGAGGGAGAGAGTGAGTGAGGGAGGGAGAGAGTAGGGTACAAGAACTGCTCCCAGGCACAACAGTGCCCACAACCAGAAGGATAAATTTTATAGCATTAGAGAAATCCCGCAAGCAATGATATTGTTATAGTCTGAACGAAGTTAACGTGGCAATAAAAAAATTGGTCATTTTCCGCTATGACATCAATAGCTTTACATACATGAACATATTGTCAATGAAATAGAAGTCACTGGCAATTATAGGTAGCCTCCCATGGGACAACATGTGGAGAAATTTTCTACAAGGAAGGGGTTACCGGGCCCCCCTTCAGCCCTTCAGCCCTTCAGCCCTTCAGCCCTGAGAGGCCCAGCCCTCTCAGAAGGGGGCAAGCATCTTGTTTGCTTCCACATCAAGTAATTACAAGCAATGTTTAGCCAGCGTGTATCATTCACGGGTCATGTGACTCCTTGCAAGAGACCAGTGTTGCAAATAGTGTAGTTTAATGAGAGACAATCAATCTCTTACCTTAGCAGGACAATTAAGGAAAATCCTGCACCCACTTTATTACCATGTAAAAGAGAGCGTAAATTGTTGTCTTTGCCCGGATAACAAGAATCAAACATTTTCCATTGCTTCATGGTGGAAGTTTGGCAAGCAGGGAAAATATACTCTAACAGCTTTTCCTTTGTAGCTGGGGCATGCGAGGTACGGTGAAGGGGGTTATAGATCTGATGACTTTTAACTCTGTCAGGGGAGACATTTTTACTAAGACTTAACGCTTTGTCTCGTCTGTTAAGTTCACTGTGGAGAAAGAGGTAGGCTATAAACTTCTATTCGTAGATGTGTTTATACACCGGGTTGATAGAAAGTTAAAGTTTACAGTATATAGGAAGGTTACCAATACGTGCTCATACATTCACTACTATTCCAATCATGAGACTAGAGTCAAAAGGAGTGTATTTCTTTCTACATTTCTGAGTGTCTATAGAGTGTGCAATCCGGAGTTTGTAGATGAAGAAATTAGGAAAATATTTGACATTGGCATGAAACTGTTGTGTCCTAAGATGTTTGTGGAATCTGCCTTGCTGGCATCTAAGAAACCTTATTATAGAACAGAACCAAGACATTTTGAACTTATTGTAGAACAGAATCCAGCCATTTTTAACTGACACTCTCGATATCATTAATGGGAAGGATGCATCTGATGAGCGTCAAGAATTGCACTGATATTTAGTTGGAGATAGTGAGTTTTAGAGGTAAGTCATCACGCTCTTCCAGGTTCATTCTGTTCCTCTGTTTTGTCAGAATTACATTTGCATTGTTAACACCAGTTTCAGTCATGTATGAACATGGGAAAACAAATAAAAATGGCTCAATTACTGCACAAAGTAGGGGATATTTAGCACAATATTTACATTTCTCCAAATAGTCACTTAAGCTGTTACTTCTGAACATTATTTTTCCTTCGAGATCCATAGTCATATCGATGAGTTCTTCCTGTAGTTAAAGTCAATGTCTGCATTTTGTACTCCTAAATCAATACGAATGCAGTCAGTCGTGTGAATTTTCTCCAGGTCTCAAAGCGTACTTTAAAGTCATCGTTCAATTGTTCATGGTGTGTTGTGTATATCTCCAGATCACCAACTGAAATGTTTCCACTTTCTTCCAACTGCCCTTAATTTGAAAAATGCTGAAAATCTCTTCTTACCAGTGAAGCTTCAAATAGGCATAACATGACTTGGAAGCCTACTAGAAATGTCCTGACCTAAATTATCGTTCCCTGAAGGCGTTTCTGTATTTCTTAATTTTTGATGAAATTAATTAATTTTAGATGAATGGTTCTCTAACCATTCATCTACAATCGATTTTTAATTTATTTTAGGGTCGATTTTTAATTTATTATTTTAGGGTCGATTTTTAATTTATTATTTTAAGGTCTAAAAATATTCAAGATCATTATTTTTTCTTATCAGAGTGAACACTTTTAAGGTAGTTTGTCATCTTCGAAGGTTTTAAGGCATCATTACGAAAAGTCTTTTCACATAATAGGCACATAGGCATTGATTTATTAGTAAAGGAAGTTATGAATCCAAATTTTAAATATTCTTGTGAATTATGTCGGCACTTCTTGGTATTAGCAGCTGCCATTATGGGTGTCAGAATGCTGAATTTATAGTAAATGCAGAACAATCACTTTTATGGCACCACTACTATCACAATGGGTTTTGAGAATGTACTGGGTGAGGCTGCACGCCCAGTACGGGAAGTGAAGAGAAATACTACAGGTACGTACATCCTTCCTGGAGCAGGAGAGATGAGAGAGACAAGGCGGAGAATGAAAGGTCACAGATACACAAAGCAAAACACGTCACCAGACATTTACTTAATTTCTTTTATCCCGTGCCATTTATTGACCCCATCGATAGTCCCATCGACCCTTAGGGTCGATATTGAATAACCACCTACACCTGCCAAATGTGCTAGCCTGATGCACCTGCCAAGTGTGTTAGCCTTGTCGCACCTGCCAAATGTGTTAGACTAGCTGCACCTGGCAAGTGTGCTAGCATTGATGCATCAACCAAATGTGCTAGTCTGGCTGCGCCTGGCAAGTGTGCTAGTCTGGTTGCACCTGGCAAGTGTGCTAGTCTGGTTGCACCTGGCAAGTGTGCTAGCCTGGCTGCACCTGGCAAGTGTGTTAGCCAGATTGCACTTGTCAGATGTGCTAAACTATCTTCACCTACCAAATTTACTAGCCAAACTGCACTTCCAGGGGGTGCTAGCCTGTTATACCAGTCAAATATTCTAACCTGCTGCGCCTGAGAAGTGCTCTAGCTTGGTTTCACTTATAGTTATTTGCGTGTAAACAAACTTAGTGTGTAATAACACGGTGTTGTTCACTAATGTATCAGTAACCAACATCTATGTTGATAAACAGGGCCTTCTGCTTCTTGGAGGAATATAATTGAATAAAACAAGAGTTTGCTTACATCAAAGGAGTTACTAATTCAATTCACTTGGTATGGTAGACATTTGGTCAAGTCTCCTTTCACGTGTACATCTTATAGTAAATAAATATGTTTGAGTTAATAGACTGATATGAGTCTCATCCTGGAGACGAATACCTAAAGACCTTCAACGGAAATAAATCACGTTGCCAATGATTCTTATTTAACGGTGGGTGATTAACCTTCCTGAGTCAGCGTTCTGATGGAAGTCTTCTCCTGTCTCGCCAACTTAGCCTCAGTATAACAGGCTCTACACCAGCAAGAAAATATCAGTCAAAGTTCTACATAACCAACCAATTATACGTTTAGCAAATTGTGTGATGTCACTTCTTGGGGAAAAATTGGTGAATATTGAAAGTTGATTTGTGCATAATTGATAAATACAAGCATTCCAGTACACTAAACACGTAGGGGGTCACACAACCTCTGGTGCAACACATAAAAATAATCACAATTATTACTTATAAATCAATTAATTATTTTCAGAAAGAATTATACTCTCAAGCTATATATATATATTTTTGTTTCGACTTTTACATTATTTTGGCCAATAAAAATGTATACTTTATGCAGATCGTGCAAATCACAAACAAATTACAAATACTCGTAAGTGTAAATTTCTAATACCAGTAATAGTACAAACTTGAATAATAAGAGAGGAATAAAATTTTCTGAAAACTTAGAGATAAGCAAAGATTCCCAAAAGTAAGAAAGGAAGCAAAGGGACTTTACATATGTGAGACAGAAAATAATAATTTAAATTATTTATTAGTTTATTTAACAGTTCCATTTGAGAAAGAGACTGCACTAAAACACTTATCTTTTAAAGCCCCATTGTACTTCGGGAGCTAATCAAGATTTTTTTGATCAAAGATAACTAAGGCGGATTAGAGTTCTCATAAAATAATTGCAAAGATAATCATTACAAAAATTGCTGCAATATTTTAATACTTTATATCCAAATATAATAATCCAAAAATGTGGCAAAACAAAATTACTATTATATTTCCTAGAAAATAGATGCAATATCAAAATAAATGTGACTGACATTGTTTATAATTTACACAGTAAAAGAGTCTTGGCAAAATATGTCAAAAATATCATTCAACTAAGTTTAAAAAATGCAAATCTTATGAAAATTTTTGGGCAAAACAGAAGTGTTGAAGTTGCAGAGAATGAGAGGACTTACCCCAGGTACGACAGGTCATCAATGAGGCTGCTGCAAGTCCAGCCAGGGAGAGAACGAGGAGAAAACATTGAGAAAGACCACACAGAGAAGGGACAGTCAAGAGTAAGTCTATTAAGGGGCACGTAAGTTACTACATCTTATAATAATATGCTCATTTTTCCATTATAATCTATCTTGTCCATAATTACTATCGCATTTGCTTTGTCTGTTTCCTAAGGTGAAGTCTAGAATCTTTCCTTAATTTATGGTATAACTTAACAAATCTTTGATGACAATTGTGTTGTTGATGACATTTGTGCTCAGACCTCTGCAGCACAATTGTCCTCAAAGATTTGTTAAGTTAGACCATGAATTAAGGAAAGATTCTTGACTTAATCTTACGAAATAGACAAAGCAAATGCGATAGTAATTATGGACAAGGTAGATTATAGTAGAGAAATGAGTATGTTATAAGAAGATGTGGTAACTTAGGTGGCTGTTAACAAGGAAGGGAGGGAGCAACGTAGCTACACACGGAACATACATCACCAAACCTCTGGCACAGATAAGGCAAAATCCTTTAACATATACTAGGCCAATCCTTTAGAATTTATGATCAAACCTTTTTATGTGGGCAGAGTAATTACTGTTTCAAATGAGATCATATATTCCAAATGATATTAAACCCATCAGGAAAACAAACAAAAAAAAAAATCCTTGCATCCTCCCCAAAAATTATGGGATTCTTAATAGTATGAAAATATTAAAAAAAATTAAATTTTAAAAAGATCATCTTAAATACTATAATACCCTGTAATGCCCCAACATACCCACATATATAACAACAACAAAAACTCTTTGAAATACTGCTTTTAGAAATTTTGAGTAACATAATCAACTTACAGGAAATTTATTCTGAAAACACACTTGAATTTTGCCATTCCATGCAAATACTGAACCTCCATCGTGAGATATCAAATTTATAAATCACGTGATGGTCCCATGCTCCTTATATAACAAAATTATAGCAAGCTATAGTAATTTCTCTCTTATTTATATAACTACATGCTTAAAGGTGTCAGAATTATTTTAAACTTTAGTAGTTTTATCTTACTGTTTAGAAGAAAATTATTTCCAAATTGAAAGTTGAAATGTTTCTCTCCCTTTCTCTCGTACACTTAAGTAAATGAATAAAGAATTTCTGAAGTTAAATTTAGACTCATCTGATTAGAGAAAGACGTCAACATTTTTGATTCAGAATTCGGCAGAGTCTTCATTACTGAAGTTATGAATTTTCGCTTTTATTTTCAAGAGGAAGATTTATTGGGGCTCTAAAAAAATCTATATTATAATACCACATTTTTGAGAATTCTGAATAAGAGAGACATTGCTGTAACATAGATAAATAACCTGAGAACTGGTAAAAGCAATAAGCTGTGAAAAAGATAAGTTACATGTAACATCTGAGCCCATTTAAAAGACTCTTCTTACAATAAATTAAAATGAAAACACTCCTCCATGTCACTAAAGAACTTCATACCTATCCACTGTAGACATTTTAGCCGCTTTCTCTGGCAGAGTTAATGTTAGTGTCTCTACTTACCAAAACGATTTTCTTAAAAACATCTAAAGCAAGCAATCAATTATGTCTCCTGGCAAAGTCTCTCAAGATATTGCTTTCATTAAATACCGCATTCATCTGGTCAATTCATTATTGTCTATCTCCCCACCAGAAGCTCTTAAACACCCTCATATTTCTTTATTTTCATGTGACAAGCAATTATATTCATGAAGAAATTTAGTTTCTATTTGTTTTATTTAATATTTTTTCCAATAAATAATGCACACGCACACAAACATAGGGGATCAGAAACGTAGAGGTCTAGGATGATGAAGGTGGTACTGGAAAACCTCATGTACCAACACGTTAGGGACACTACCAGAGAGAAAGGAGAAAACGAACCAGCAAAACCGGACCAAGTATTCACCCTGAGTAGTGCAGATGTTTAGGACATGACATACGAAAGACCTCTCGGGGCCAATGACCACGTGGTTCTGGGCATCGAATACATAGTAGAGTTAAAACTGGAGAGGGAAGCAGGAAGAGCAGGACGAATGAAGCCAAATTACAAGAGAGGGGACTACACAGGCATAAAGAATCTCCTGCACGGGGTTCAGTGGGACAGAGAACTCACAAGGATGTTAGTAACTGAGATGATGGAATATGGGATAACAATATGCCAGGAAGTTGAGAAGTGGTTTGTACCCAAGGGTAACAGAAATAATGAGAAGGCCAAGATGAGCTCTTGATTCACCCAAAGGTGTAGAGAGATCAAAACCAAGTGTGCTAGAGAATGGAAGAAGTATAGAAGGCAATGGAGCCAGAAGAATAAGGAGAGCAGTCGCAGAGCCAGAAATGAAGAAGCACAGGTAAGAAGTGAGGCCCAACGACAACACAAAGATGATATAGCAGTGAAAGCCAAATCTGACCCAAAGCTATTGTACAACCACATCAGGAGGAAAAAAACAGTCAAGGACCAGGTAATCAAGCTAAGGAAAGAAGTCAACATGACTCACGAAATCGTAATTTTTTTAAGGAAGGAAGGAGAGATCACAAGTAACGACCGTGAAGTACGTGAGGATCTCAACTTCGCATTCAAAAAAGTGTTCACAGAGGAGACAGAAGGAACTCGAGAAAGAGGGAGAGGCGGAATGCACCATCAAGTGATGGACCTAATACATACAACCAAGGAAGAAGAGAAGAGGCTGCTAAGCGAGCTATATACTTCAAAGGCGATGGGGCCTGATAACATCTCTCCATAGGTCCTGAGAGAAGGAACGGAGGTGCTATGTGTGTCATTAACAATAATCTTCAACACATCAATCGAAACTGGACGACTACCTGAGGTATGTAAGACAGCAAATGAAGTCCCAATTTAAAAAAAAAGAGATAGACAGGAAGCATTAAACTACAAACCAGTGTCACCTACATGTATAGCATGTAAAGTCATGGACAAGATTATCAGAAGAGCGGTGGAGCACCTAGAAAGGAATGAGCTTATTAATGACAGCCAGTAGTTTCAGGGTCAGAGAATCCTGTGACAGAAACCTGCTGGAGTTCTATGACAGGGTGACAGCAGTAAGACAAGAGTGAAAGGGGTGGGTTGATTGCATTTTTCTGGACTTTATGAAGGCGTTTGACACTGTTCCACACAAGAGATTAATGCAGAAGCTGGAGGACCAGGCAGTCATAACAGGGAAGGCTCTGTAATGGATCAGGGAATACGTGTCCGGAAGACAACAGCAAGTCATGGTACATATCGAAGTGTCCGAGTGGGCGCCTGTGACGAGTGGGGTTCCATAAGGGCTTAGTCCCAGGACGGGTGCTGTTTCTGGTATTTGTGAACGACATGACGGAAGGAATCTGGACAGGCTGCAGGCTTGGCTCCTAGAGTTCCACCCCACCAAGTGGAAAGTCATGAAGATTGGGGAAGTGCAAAGAAGAACGCAGACAGAGTACAGTTTAGGGGCCAGAAGCTACAAACCTCAATCAAAGAAAAGGATCTTGAGGTGAGTATAATACCGAGCATATCTCCTGAGGTGCACATCAATCTAATAACTGCTACGGCATATGGGCGCCTAACAAACCTAGGAGTAGCATTCCAACATCTCAGTAAAGAGTCGTTCTAGACTCTGTACATTATGTATGACAGGCCCATATTGGAGTATACAACACCACTTAAGAATCCACACCTGGCCAAGCACATCAGGAAATTAGATAAAGTGCAAAGGTGTGCAACAAGACTAGTTCCGAAGCTAATGGGCATGTCCAACGAGGAGAGCTTATGGGAAATCAAACTGACAACATTGGAAAACAGGAAGGATAGGGAGGACATGATAACGACGTATAAAATACTGAGAGGAATCGACAAGGAAGACAAAGACACGTTGTTCTAGAGACTGGACTTAGCAACGAAGGGTCACAATTGGAAGATGAAGACTAGGATGAATCATACGAAGTATTTCTTCAGTCACAGAGTTGTCAGGAAGTAGAAGAGCCTGATGTAGTGGAGGCAGGATCCATACATAGCTTTAAGAAGAGGTATGATAAAGCTCACGGAGTGGAAAGAGTGACTGTGGCAGAGCCAGGAGCTGTGACTCGATTCCTGCAACCACAACTAGGTGAGTACACACACACACACAAACACACACACACACACACACACACATATACACACACACACACATAAACACACGCACACATACACACACACACACACAAACACACACACACACACACACACACAACACACACACACACACACACACACACACACACACACCACTCCAGGAAATCAGAACAGGGGGGCACACCAGCAGGTGAAGAAGCTGCTATGCGAACTTGACACCTCAAAGGCGGTGGGACCAGACAACATCTCTCCATGGGTCCTTAAAGAGGGAGCAGAGATATTGTGTGAGCCATTAACAAAGATCTTCAACACATCATTTGAAACTGGGCAACTCCCTGAGGTATGGAAAATGGCAAATGTAGTCCCAATTTTTAAAAAGGGAGACAGACATGAGGCACTAAACTACAGACCTGTATCACTAACGTGTATAGTATGCAAGGTCATGGAGAAGATCATCAGGAGGAGAGTGGTGGGGCACCTGGAAAGAAACAAGTGTATAATTGACAACCAGCACGGTTTCAGGGAAGGAAAATCCTGTGTCACAAACCTACTAGAGTTTTATGACAAGGTGACAGAAGTAAGACAAGAGAGAGAGGGGTGGATCGACTGCATATTTTTGGACTGCAAGAAGGCCTTCGACACAGTTCCTCACAAGAGGTTACTGCAAAAGCTAGTGGATCAGGCACACATAACAGGAAAGGCACTGCAATGGATCAGAGAATACCTGACAGGGAGGCAACAACGAGTCATGGTACGCGACGAGGTGTCAGAGTGGGCGCCTGTGACAAGCGGGGTTCCACAGGGGTCAGTCCTAGGACCTGTGCTATTCTTGGTATATGTGAACGACATAACGGAAGGGAT